GACTGGATCGGGCTAGATATTGACTTGCAATGATTGCTCTGGAAACTTAAGTGTAATAGAGTCCAACAGTTAAGAGTGCAATACCATTGTGTATCAGAGTTAAAACTGTAACACCTCATATAATACACGTATCACGCTTATTAAAAAAATACGAAAACGTCGATACCCTGTGGTAAGGTTGGGGCTTTAATATCTGAACATCGAGTATTAGCTAGTGCGGGTGACTACATGGTTCGAAATTTCCCAAGGTGAATTGACTGGGTCCATATTTTCTGAGGGTGAGTGGACGCGGGTTCGAATTTGGAGGGGATGAGTTGTCGTGTAATCTTCTGAAACATACTTCAAATCTGTTCGCCTACGAACATTTCGAATCCAAACACCTCATATTCGTGTTGGAGCAAACACGAACAGCTCGATGTTCGTTCGAGTTCGATCGAATACGAACATGTTCGCTCATCTCTACGTCCCCAGTGTATTTCTTTAAAATAGGACTCAGTGACAAGTGGGATAAATGTGCAGTCGATTAAAAGTGGACAAATATCTACGCCAGCATTTTTAACTGAATTGATTTTCATGCTCAACTTCCAAAAAGATTATTACGACTGCTTGTTCATAGCGAACTGGAGCCACCCAGTTCTCGGTGCGCGACGCTGAACCATGTATGTTCACATTTTTTCCGGGGAGTAGCAGACACTGCCTTCATCGCCTGAGTTGGGCACCGGGTGCCAGTGCCAGAATGGCATGGCATTGGCATGGCTTTAGACGAAAAGCCGTAACAACTTTGCCCAATACGAGTGATTGTGAGTGGCACATCTGTGTACCAAACCGCTGTTTTTGCATTAAAGGTGATTTCTTCAATGTTCAGGAATGCGCACGCCTACGAGTACTCCCAGCTGAGCCAGTGCGAGCGGGATGCAGGGGACCTAGCAGACATTGCCGATGAGCTCGGTATTTCAATAAACACCTCAACCGATGAAGAGGTAACTATAAATAAACTCCGTCAAGGACGGTCTTGGCCATGTTTAGTCTAATCAAGATTGGGGCTGAATACAGTAAACTCCCACACTTGTTCATTTCATGAAAGATTCCATAATTAAGGGAACTTGACCTTGGATTACATTGGACTAATCCATCAGTAATCCTACCAGAGAGGTATCTGATTCCGCTGCGACTGCATTTCGCGGCGCACCCAGTCGATACCAAACTGTTTCTCCTCAGACGCATTATTTTCGCCCGTAGGTGCCTCGCGCACAGCGTGTTGGAACTACGCGCCACTACACGCTGCTCAGTGTAAGAATATTTATTGTGCATAAGACCCTACTTCTGTGCTGTGCCCTTTTAGCACTAATAAAATTAAAACATCAAACATACTAATTGCGGCCAAATATCACAGCATCAAATTCCGATTAAACAAAAGTCATCCAAACACAAAAGTACATTGTGAGCTTGCACGATAGTCGATGCACGTAACTCCATCCGTTTAGTAACTATGTATGATCCACAAACAGCACTAAAACTAAATCTACTTTGGCACTGTCCCTCTTCTCTAAATGTTCGTATGGTGTGGATTTTATCTCAGGAACTGGAAGCCAGCCCTACGGAAGACTTCGACAGGAGAAGCACTCGACCCGCGACCATCCGCGTCACTGCCAGCTACATTACCACGCTGGCCAACCTCACCAGCAGCGGGAAGGATGATGAGGTCAGCATCAATAACAACACTATCGACAACGAGCTGAGCCCGGCACGAGACCCGGCCCCGACGATCCAGCCGGACGCGTCAGAGGGAGTTCCTCGGCCAACCCCGATGGCGTCCGCTGTCAGACAGTCCGAAACACAGCCGCTCCTCGGGCAGCTGCTGCCGGTTCTGCCGCTCATGCCACCGCCGCTGCAGCCAGAGACGGTTGCGGTGGACAAGCCTCAGCCGCGGACGACCCTGTTCACCGATTCAGATGAGGTTCGAATCAACCAAAACAAGTCTCTTAAGGAGCGGATATTTGTAGCCAAATCATAACTAAGATTAATCAAAACATTTTCTCAATTGCTCTTACAGGAACTTCTTCAGTGAACATTCCAGCTAAAGAAACGAAACAGTAAAGGACAAGTCATCGCGTTGCATATCAAAAGACGTACCCCTTTGTTATGTTCAATTGCCTGGGATTATAGCCACGATCTGTGAGGCAACGAGTTCTCTTCGGCGATCCTGTCAAATTAGTTCCAAATTCGAAATCATCCAGTGACAATTCATATTGAGGATACGGTTCCCATTTTAAATCTGATAACCCCTAATCTGTTTCTCTCGTGTGTTCCTGCATATTGTGTAAAGGTTGTCAGTATTATACGATAGATAACGGTAGTTTGTGATAAGTATGATATTCCACAGCTATTGCCGAGGAGGTATTCACTCTCGTAATACCCTGTACACCTCACCTGAGTATTACGAGGTATTACGTGTAATGTAATATGGAGAAATTACAAAATATGCTACAAAATGGCCGAATTTTGCTTTTTATACCGGTGTAATGCCCGGTAGTACTATGTAATTCAGTGTAATACCGAGTACTCTGTGCAAGTTTTCTTGTAGTGAATACCCCCACGGCTATTGCTGCAGGTGCCTGTAATATTATGTTGTAAACATGCGTGTTAACTTCGAATAGTTGATTGTGAGGGTGCCATTGCCAATTGAAACGGTTGTGCCTTTGTTAAAATCTATTATTTATTTAATTATTCAATTTAAGTGGTTGGAATTGGGTTTAAAACGCTGGTTGGAGGTGTGTCATACAACTACTATTGCAGGTTATCTGCACTTCGAAAAAGCTATATTGTGATGGTAGTCTAAGTAGATAAAAATCAGATTCTATTCTGTTATTTGTCATTACCTAGTTATTTAGGTCTTTATGAGTATTAAGGTCGATCTGGACTACCATGGCGGTAGCCAAGCGATGCTTTTGTTCTCACATCTTCTGGCACATTATTTGGAGAACACAATTTTCCACGATTTACCACGTGTTCAGAAAGCGTAAGGGACCGTCATACGGCTGGACTATCGAACCAAACAGAAAGACCATTATGAATATAAGAAATACATATGACAAGTTTGTATCGGTAACTCAAGCACATACTGCACAGCACGGTAAACCAAAGTACTGGTTCCAAAACTGTTTCTACTGGTTTTCACGCATGAGGTAAAACTAACGAAATTATATTTACAACCTGTGAGACCTGTGCGATCGCTCTTATCATTTCGTGCTCGTATATCCAGTGGGCTGGTTTGGAAACCGTAACCGAATTGGATTTCGGGCAAGCAGCTTATACGAGAGCTTGGACAATTGACTTTACAGAAAATGGTAGGCAGGTTTTCTCGCGGTAAGGGTTTTGATATTACCTGGCTTGAAAACCGATTGAATCGCGACTTAGAAACCAAATTACGTGCTTTGCGGCTTTTGTGGTCCTCCACTTACAAATTCTATGAAAATCATGAACTGATAAACGTGCTAGATACATAAATGTAAGGTGTGGTCAAAAATAAATCGTGAAAGATTAACACCGGTTTGTGCTTTGAACTGCCTACAGCCTAAACCCTACGAAAGGGTTACATAGAGCGTCGTACAAAATCGAAACAAATACGACATAAACTGGTAAAACCAAAAGAACTGTCGGTCCCAACTAATCAACTCGAAATCAAACTCGACTATTTTGGCTTTTAACTAAGAAAGATGTCACATTTACATTTAATTCAGAGGCAAGGAAAACATTCTGTGACTTCGCAACAGCGTCAACTGCAACCGAAACATAGTCCGAGGGACTTTTCTTACTTACCTGCAGAGAAGCTGAAGACTGTTCATTGGTGCGCCTTCGGACTGCTGGCCGTGTAAACGAACTGCGAGCGCGACAGTGCGGTGGGGGGCACGGGGTCCGCTGAGAGGAAGGGGAGGGAGAGGCAGCCGGACGCGCTGAGACCAGCCAGTCCGCTGCCGGTAGGCGCCGCCTGCAGACGTGCCGGGCCACGCCTGATCCTTTCGTCCTACAGCATCACGCGGTCGACCGACTCGCAATCTAAGTCTGTGTTTTGGCGACTCGCATTCGCAATTAAAATCTGTGTTACTTAGCGCGCTGCCGGTTCAGTGCACCACGCAGTGTCACCAACGAGTGCGAGAAGTCGCGTGAGTGTGTATGTGTGTGTGGAAGCGTCCGGCCACCTGTGGAACGTGACCACGCGCATGAGTGAGAGAAAGAAAGGTTGTAACCACCTTGTGAAAATGTGTATGGGACGCAGTTACCAGTTTTGACGGATTACCCAAGATCACGTGACATCGACGAGCTCCTGGACAAATAAAGGTACGACGTTAGTTTTTCTAGTAACTGGTTAGTCCGACAAGTTTTGGGTTTCCGCAACCGCGTCAAGAAAACCAGGACGTCGTTTTTACCTAGCATATTTCAGTTTGTGAGTTCATTTATTAATAGTAAACTAACTTATGGTTTTAATATGGTCTTGTTAACTTTGTAAATCTTTGGTTTTAATTAATTTTAAAAGCAATTTTGAGAAACAAAGTGTTTGAATTACATTCTTTCATACATACTGATGCGGCGGCACGTTGACAGGTAGTTGCACGTTGCAAGCCCATGAACCAGGGCACAATTTTTTGTAAAAATTCATGTACACCTTATTCCTTGCACGTCCATATCAGTGAAACGACGACAGACACGATGAAAATTCTGTTAACCCAAGCAAAACAGGTTCATGCTCTATGGAATTTGAAGAAATAACAGAGTACCAACTACATGTGCTCATTTGCGCTCATCTGCACTGGTTGAAGTGTCTCTAGTCGAACATACCTGACCAGAGCCGCTAGAGGAAAAAAACGTGGAGGGGCTTCGGACTTGATTATAAGTAGGTCAGCCCGGGCTGAGTGCCTGCCTCAGAGAGAAAACTGCACACTCTGACGGGTCATACTCATGCATCCCGTGCGAGCGAAGCCGGAAGACCAGAAACCACGTGATCTTTTTGGAGTATTGTCTCTTTTTACGCTCCATATAATAGAAACTATATTTGTTTGCGTAAACCACGCACAAGGGTAAACGAACAATTTTTGAAACCATCTTGAGGTTACCGTGTTCTGGTCTGTGTAGGACTCTAGCAGAGGGCACATGCCGAAAATTTACATACTTCCCATCTTTCCGTGCAGAGGCCTACCATGGCCTCCTCCACGATGCTGCGTCGGCGGGCCGAGCCCGTCTGCCTCAAGGAGTCCTCGCCGCCGGCCACGGCCTCTGACAACAGCGACTCGGAGGGCGAGAAAGACTTCGGCCTCGAGGACTTCGAGATTATCAAAACAATTGGTGAGTGGACGCGACTCAAAAACCTGTTCGCACTATCGCGAGCCGGTATTGCCAGACACAGCAGGAGAAAGAGTGTAAACAGTGAGAAAGTGGCCACTCCCTATCCATACGCGCGCGTTTATTGAAAGTATTAGTGTGGACAGAAAAGAGGCGCTAAATTTTCAAATCACAATGCTTTGCAGAACTGCGAAGTATTTACATCCTGTGCAACTACGAATTTGCAATTACAAAGCGATGCTTTGCAGCGTTTTCGATGCTTTACAATTTGCAAGCATCACTTTGTAGTTGCAAAGTCAATGCTTCGTATTTACAAAGGATCTTACTACTTCGCAGTATTGAACGTCGATCGTGCGTGTTTTCAATAACTGGGGTGGGTCTGCTGGTGGGTCCGGGGCGGGGCACTCTGGAGCATTCTGCTGTACAGAACCCGGCGCATTTACCCTCCCCGATTCCATCCATAGCGTCGCCCGCGATGCGGTGCCAGGCCAGACGAGACCCCCGCATTATGCACTCAGACTGCCAGAACCAAATTACGTCGCTAAACCCCGACCACGCGACCGACTATCCGCAGTTAGTTGTTCTCACGAGGATGGCCCTATTGTTCCTCCCCGCGTTATTCGCACGTTTGTCGCGGTTGCGTCAAGAGCGCGAGCGTGTGTGCGTGTACGCGGTACAGCAGCTGCGTTTGCGGGCACACAGTGGCGCCCGCGGCAGCGTGTGCACAGGGTAGAATTATTCGAGTGTGATGCACAAATAGCCGCCTTCGTGCCGGCCACTTGCACTTTCATTTCATGCAACACTGCAGAGCTGAAACACTGCTTTTAAGTGTGTGACATGTGTGTGAGTGTGAAAGTGTTTCAATAGCGCAGTAGGAGTTGTCTTGTGTAGATGAAGACCAAATCCACGCCACTCACAACTGCAAACTTTCTTCGAAGTTCTATTTGCAATGCAACGCTTTGGAGGTACAGATAATGTAGTGCTACTTCACGCCCGGTTTTGGTACCTTGCGAGGCAAGAACAGCTTAAGAGAGTTCAATATCATTATTTACAAATTAAATTCTAGACAATTTCTATGTTGCTTAGGTATGGCGCTGCTGAGTACTTTCTAGCTGCAAAGCACCGTTTGTAAAATAACCAGGGAGATACTGAAGGTCACATTGCCGTAAACAAGACGATTTCAGGCTGTAACGACCGATTAGGTGGAGGAGCCCCTTTTTTCTAACTGAAATTTCCAGCAAGAACCAAAACCATGTCGTTTCTCACTGGATCGGCAGTATTTTCCACTGAACTATTGTTGTCCTGCTTCATATATGTGTGATTTGCACACAAAGACGCAATTTACCTACAGTTGGAAAGGAATATGGAACACTTTCTACTGACATTTTTGATACGATTTTCCTCTATTGCATCCGCGGATCCGCGGCATCCGTTTCCTGGAGGCCCACCGGCCCACCGTGCCTCGCTCAGAACTCCTGCTGCCTGCGCCTCACCTGCATACAGGTCGCGCGGCTGGAAGGGGGAGCTGAAGCAAGAGAGGGGGACAGGAGGGCCGGTGGAAGGGAAAGGGAGTAGGTGTAGGGGGGAGCTTGAGAACAGGTACGAGGAGGGGTGGGGGGGCTGGAGCAGGGAGCAGGGGCCTGAAGGGCAGCGACTGGGGCGTTACGTAACGGCAAGAGTCACCGACCCACGGAGAGGGAGGGAGGGAGAAAGATAGGGGACGGGGCGTAGAGAGGGAGAGAGAAGCGGTGCGACCAGTGCGGCATCGGCGGCCGGTTCGGCCCAGGCCTGCATAGCGCGCTGCTAGACTGTGCGCTGCACAGCCGCAGAAACACCCGCAACCCCTTCTCTCTCTCTCTCTCTCTCTCTCTCTCTCTCTCTCTCTCTCTCTCT